ATATATATAGAGAGAGAGAGAGAGAAAGATAGATAGAGAGAGAGATAGAGAGAGATTGTAGAGATTGCGTTCAAGCATGAAAGAGACTGTCGCTGCTCGACCTCAGTGCCCACTTGATATTTTTATATCTACATAGGCTCTATTTCTGATATTTAACACTTTAGCAATAAATATAGCATGCCTTAAGACTATATTTTAAATCACACACACACACACACACACACACACACACACACACACACACATATATATATATATATGAAGAAAAATATACAGAAAAAACAAACAAAAATCTTAATATGCAATTATGCTGTATTAATGTTAATATAAAGTCAACGTCGGACGTTTCGGTCTATTTTAGACCATCTTCAGGACATTTTCATTTAAACATAATTAACATTAGAACATATAAAAATTCAACACGAAAAGATCTATATCCATATATTTGCTTACATATATGTATATGTGTTTAGTTGCGTTGATGTGAGTTTGTGACAGTGGGTTTCACGGCCTTTGCGATCGTCAGACAAATTGATTGATTTTGAAAATTTGGATCTATTTATGGTTACCGTGTGTCTGATGGTACTGGGAGAAAAAAATTCACCTCGGGGTGTGTTTGCATGAGTGACGTACCGAGGAGGCTATTTTTTTCCTTCCATTACCACCAAACACTGATATACACAACTACAAATAGATCCAAAATTTCAAAATTAATCAGTTCATCTGACGACCGCAAAGCATTTTGTGTCGATTAATATTATTGATTTACTTTTGAAAATTACGAATAATGTTTCTCAGATAAGGAGGGAATAGCTTCAAGCTTTTGATTTTCGTAAGTCATCATCAGGGTAGGTGGAAACCTAGAGATCTATCTACCCTAATGATGACTTGTTTTGAGATAAAGTAGTGCCACAGATGCCTACTATATATATTTATAATTCTAAGACAAAAATGACCTGAAACTGAGGAAAAAATAACATCTATGACTGAAGATGGTGAATGTTTTCATCGAAAGTACTTGCGATCAATATGGACCGAACATCTAATCCATTTTACAATTAATAAAAACAAGGTCGTGTCGTTCAGCGAGTGGTCAGTGAGTTAATGCCTTCTTAATCTGTTAGCGAAGTGAATTCGCCATTAATGACATTCTTTATTGATTTTTTTCTTTGAATGACTATATATATATATATATATATAAGTGAACATTGAAATTGAAGTCAAAACTTGCTTCAAGCCGGGATCAGTCGGAATCTCTCACCTTTAGGTTATTAGCGCACGCAGCGGAGAAAGGGAATTTTTAACGCATTATATACGAGATATACGCATTACCGGCCAGTAGTGTATTCAATTCACAGTGAAGAGCTTTTAGCGTTAATTCGTAGCGCAGCCGACAAAATTCCCTTTCTTCAACCTACAAGAGGGGGCGTTAACGTGGTCTTTTGACTTTGAAAACCTCATGTGGCAAGTTTTTAACTGATTAAATTAAATTCCTGACATCTGTGACACTAGCGTGTTGAAAAATGGAAATACGGATTCTTATTTTTATTCCTTTAGGGAACGATATACACCTTTGTTCTATCCACATCCGACTGATGAAAACTAATTTTCGTCGTTTATTTAGTTAAATCAATTCCCCCAAGCAAGACAATGATACCACTAAGATGTAAGGAGCTACTGAGAGTAAAAGAGATTGAGATTTTTTAGAAGGAACTGGAAACCCAACCCTAAACAGGAAACAAAGGAATGAACCGCTACTGATGTTCAAAAGACGGAGTTTGAAGTAGTGTAGAACCTTGATTATATCATTATTTTCTCTTCTTGGAGAAAGATGATCCTCTCCTTATCTGAAGGCTTCATTAAATCGAAACTATTCTTAATCATTGACATAGGAAGGCGGTTGTATATAGCTGATATAGGGGGCATCAATTTGGTCTTTTGACTTCAAAAACCACACGTGGCAAGTTTTTAACTGCTTAAATTAAATTCCTGACATCTGTGACACGAGTGGGTTGAAAAATGGAAATACGGACTCTCTTCTTTTTATTTGTGTTGTGGTAGGATCCACCTAATTGCATAGTGGAGTACCGACCATATAAATATGGTTGGTACGGGGAAGAGAGGGAGGAATCAAGAGATTCAACCAGAGACTCTGCCCGACTGCGACTCAGTCAACACATTCTCCAGGAACGGTCTTACCAGGAATATACAAAAGACTATATGTAAATATTGTGTACCCTTTCTTGTTTCAATACATTTTGTTCTAAGTACATTTTGTGTTGCATTATTATTCCATGCATTAGTCAAATTTCAACAATTTGTTTATGGAACAATATATATATTTATTCTATCCACATATTTCCGACTGACGAAAACTAATTCTCGCCGTTTCTTTAGTTATTGAGCCTCCCGTTCTCCAGTCTCTTCTTCTTCTGAAGACCTATGGCCTGATTTCTGTATTTTTAATTGTTTGTTAATCTCAAAATCAACTGACTTCACCTCCGCCTATTCCGCTGAAGTTCGTCTCGTAAAACAATTTACTAACGATTCGTCTAAAAAAATAAGAAAGAAATATTTGAGTTTACTTAATAAATGTTTTGATATCTTTAGTGATTTGATTCACTCCAATTTGAATCCAGTCAAATGTTTGAGTCGCAAATGGCATTTTAATAATGTCCAAAAGTCGCTCGGGAAAGCAAATTTCATTTTACGAAGCACTAAAAGTTGTCATCTGTACAAGATGTCGACTCGTCGCATCACCCAACGAGCTAAAATAGTCATTGCCTCTCTAAAATGAATAACAATTATTATTAGCGGATTAGTAGAAAATGTAAATCCGAAAAATATTAATACTTGGAGATAATCTATACTTGAGAAACAATCCAGAGGATTTCAAAGTTTTATGATATCAGTACGCTTTCAATATTATATTACTTAAAAAAAAAATCAATTCTCCCAAGGAAGGCGATAAGATCACTATGACGTAAGGAACGACTGAGAGTAAAAGAGAATGAGATTTTTTTTAGTAGGACACTAAACAGGAAACAAGGAATGAACCGCTACTGATGTTCAAAAGACAGACTTTGAAGTAGTACGGAACCTTCATTATGTCATTATTTTCTCTTCAATTAACATGTGCTATCCATTTTAGTTGTTGCTGCTGTTGAAAGTCCTCACGTGATGTCGTTTCGATTATTTCGTACAGGTCTTTGTTTGGGATTATGTAGCGCCAATCTACTCAGTCAATGAAGCTTGGAGAAAATAGAAACTATTTTTAATCATTGACGTAGGAAAGCGGTTGTATATCGCTGACAGTTACGACATTTCTGAATAGGCTTGACGACATGCATGGCATCCACTTCAGAGTATCAACCTTTTTCTTCTACTCTTTTGCTTTTCTTTCTATCTTTTTTTCTGTTTTTCTTTCTTTCTTCTTCTTGTCTTTCTTGCTTTCTTTCTTTCGTTGTCTTCTTTTTCTTTCTTTCTTTCTTTTACTGACTTCTCTTTCTTTCTTTCTTTCTTTCTTTCTTTCTTTCTTTTCCTGTCTTCTTGTTTGTTCTTTCTTTCTTTTCCTTTATCTGTCCTTCTTATTTTCTGTTTTTTATCATTCTTTCTTTCGTTTTCTTTGTCTGTCTTCTTTTTTTCTTTCTTTTTCTACCTTTTTGTTCTTTCTTTCTTTCTTTCTTTCTTTCTTTCTTAATTCCTTTCTTTCTTTCTTTCTTTCTTAATTCCTTTCTTTCTTTCTTTCTTTCTTTCTTTCTTTCTTAATTCCTTTCTTTCTTTCTTTCTTTCTTTCTTTCTTAATTTCTTTCTTAATTTCTTTCTTTCTTTCTTTCTTTCTTTCTTTCTTTTGTTTCCGTTTCTTTATTTTTTGTTTGTTTGTTTCTTTATTTCTTTCTCTATCATTCTTTGCTTTCACCATTCTTTTATTTTTTTTCATTATTTCTCTCTTTTTTTTAATGTTTTCATTTCTTATTTTTTCTCCGTTCGCTTTTTCTTAGCTCTTCTGTTAACTTGCTTTTTATATACAATAATGATTTTTTGGTTTCAGCTAAAGTGCTTTTGTAATGTTTCTAATGTATTGCAAAGCTTCTTTAAATAGAAGAACAACATTTTATTTCTGAATAACCTCTGCTAAAATGGCGGGTGCGTCTAATATGCACGGCAGTTGTTATTTCCCCACCCGCAAATAAGGTCAAAGGCTGACAAAAAAAGGGTCCATAGATACAAATAGGTGTGGAAAAGGGGCAATGATTATTTACAGCAACAAAAGACAGAGATTTGTGTGGAGCTATAAAGAGACATGGCACATAGACACTTGGGCACAGAAAGATAGAGAAGAAGAGATTGAGAGAGAAAGGGGGTGAAAGAAAGAGGGAAGGAAAGAAAGAGAGAAACAAGAAAGAGAGAGACAGGGAGAGAAATAAATAGAGATCGAAAGAGAGAAAAAGAATCAGAGAGAAAGAGAGAGTGATAGAGAGAGAGAAACAAATAGAGTAAGAGTTGGAGATAGAAAGAGAGAGAAACAGCGATAGAATGAAAGAAAGAGAGTGCGCAAGAACAAGAGAGAGAGAGAGGAAAGAGAGAGAGAGAGCAAGAGAGAGAGAACAAGAAAAAGAAACAGAGAGAAATAGAGATAAAAGTGAGGGGAAGGGAGAGCGAGAAAGAGAGCGAGCGAGAGGGAGAGAGAGACTGAGAAAGAGAGTGCGAAGAGAGATCACGAGTAAAAAAAGACAGAGCGAGCGAGAGAGTGATTAGTTACAAACCTTCCATTTTGTAAATACCTTGTAAAAACAAATGGAGGTTTCTGTATTTTGTTAGTTGGAAAGTCTGTCCTTGCAAATAAATAATTAAAAAAAAAAAAACTACTATCGAGATATCCAGATTATTTTTTCTGCTTGGCTTTGTACGGTCTGTATTCTAAGAATTTTGCACATAATTTAGGAACTGTCTACCATTTACCAGTTTCCATCTTTAGATTAAATTATTGCAAATCTATTTTTTTCTTTAGATTATTTTGCAGCCGAAGTCTCTGCTGAGTAAAGCCTTTCCTGATTTCTCCATGGAATGTTTCGACTGTGTCACTTTCTCAAGAGTTAAGTTCTTACACTCATAAATATGACTAGTACCGCCTTTACGCTGACACATTTTCTGGAACGGTAGCCAAAGATTTCTTGTGATTACCTTCAGCTTTTGTTGAAGAGAATGCTAGATCGAATATTCTGCCCAAAATATTCACCTAGAAATTGGTAGAAGTTGTCGTTTTCTATGTAAGGGAATGTTTTCTTTTTTTTGTTTTTGTTTTAGGAGAAACCTTGGCTGTTTCCCAAAGAGCCTGTGAATATCAGATACAAATTCTTGTCTAATCAATTAATGGTGGAAAATAAGAAAATAAAAAACGGGGTGTTAGGAATAGACGAGAATAACGACAACAACAGTCAAACGCAAAAGAGGCAATTTAAGAAAATCGAAGGAAGAAATCCTGAAAAACCTGACAGAAGGAAAGATTGTTAGAAAGGGAGGTGAGAAGAATATAAGTAGATCTGAAGGAAAGAAAGAAAAATAAATAGATAAAGGTGACAAAGAGGATAAAGAACTAAAGAAGAAAAAAAAAGTAAGAAAGAAAGAAAGAAAGAAAGAAAGGAAAGAAGAAAAGAAAGAAAGAAAGGATGGATATAGAGAAGATAAAGAATTAAAAAGCATATAAAAATGTAAGAAAGAAAAAAGACAGTGAAAGAAAAAGTGAATAGAGAAAAGAAAGAAAGAGAGTGAGAACATGAAAAAGAAGAAACAACGTAAAATAATAAAAAAGGATGGAAAATAAAAAAAGAAAGAAAGGAAAAGAAAAAAGGAAGGAAAGAAAGGAGAAAAAAGAAAGAAGGAAAAACAGAATAGTGAAAGGAAAGAAACAAAATAGAAAGAAAAGAATGAAATGACCAAAAAAAAAAAAAAAAAAAAAGAAGACTGAAAGAAAAAAAACAAAGAGAATTAAAGAATGAAATAAAAAGAAGGAAAAGAAGGAAAAATGGAAGAAAAAAAAATCGGAAGAAAGGAAAGAAAAAAACCAGATGAAAGAAAAATAAAGAATGTCGGTTAAAAGGAATCGAGGAAGAAGAAAGACAGGTAGAAAGAAAGAAATAACAGGAGTAGAATGGGGGTAGGAAAAAGAGAAACAGGGGAAAAGAAAGCAAAGAAAAGCGAATGGAAAAGAGAAAGAAGGCGTGACGCAAAAAAGAAAAGAGAAAGGGCATTAAAAGTGAGAAGAAAGAAAAGGAAGGAGAGAGAATAAAAGAAAGATAGAAGATTAGAAAGAAATGAGAAGGAAACAAGAAAAAAGAAAGAAAATGAATGAAAAAGTTAAAAGGATAAAAAATACGAAGGAAAAAGTTAAAAAAAAAGAAACAAATGAAAATCGGGGTAAGAGAAAAAAGACAGACAGAGAGAGAGAGAGAGAGAGAGAGAGAGAGAGAGAGAGAGAAAGAAAGAAAGAGAATATGTGTTTGTGAGCGTGTGTGTAAGTGAATGTTTGATACGATGATTGGAACACCCACATAGAGATGGAAAGTGTGAGATTTTATCGAGGTCTCAAGTGTTTCGTGTTTCGATATTTCTGTGAGATATCGTCGTCAAAGCGGTTAACCACTTATTCAGAAGGGGGATAAAAGAATAAATAAAAATTTTTTTGGAGTCAAGTGACAACAAACCGGAGATTGATGTTTTCCGGTTGCAAGTCTATATGGGTCTCTATGGAGAGTTCCGCTCCGCACCTCTGGGAGTTCCGATGCCTCTTGTTCGTGTTGCAAGACACGCGTGCGCGATTTTGAGACGGACAGAGAGTTGGTAAGAGGAAGAGTAGAAAAGAAGAACTGATCTATGAGATTGGCATGGTAGAATATGTCCCAAATTACGCCTACCCACCCACTTAAAGAGGGCTAGTGAAGCCTTGAATAAACACCAAAGTTCGACTCTTCATTTCTTGTGGTGGCGTTTGTTTTCAACTTTTGTTTCTTAGTGAGCTTTCAACGGGCACTTCCAAGAAAATGAAGATGCAACGTCGGGTAGTCATTGGTTTGTCGGTGAGAAGCTACGTAAGGGTCTCGTTGTTGCATACTCCACTGGTGGGTGTGGTCTCATTTCGTCTTCTCTCGGTCAGCGATCGTTAATTGTTTTTGTTCAGCAATTAAAAACTTCAAACAGAGAATTTTAACTATTTTTATTACTCATGTCAACATGTACATTAACTATCTAGTAGGGACCGTCCCTTAACTCGGGAGCCGTGTTAGACACGAAAGAGAACATGTCTACATCGTTTGACTGGTAAGAAGCAACTCGCTGAAACTTTTCTCCTATCTCTTTCCCACGTTAACTCAGACAATCAAAATCGACTTCCTTATTATGGCTTACGTCTGACCCCGAATGTCAACCTCTGGAAGTCGGAGCCGAGATACACTTACCCTAAAAATAAGAGTCTGCTAAACTATTTTAACACCATTGTTACAAGAAAACAAAAAGAAGAAAATGAAAGCCTGAGAAAATGAAAAGAACGACAGGAGCCAGAAAAACAAACAAAAAAAAAACAAAAAAAAACAAAACAAAACAAAAAACAAACTAAGTATACTATACTGCGCCCTTGTTTATATTCAAAACACCAGTTTCCTTAAATAATTAAATAATAATTTATTGCTAGTTCAGATGCTAAAAAATTGGTTCACTTGCTAGACAATTTTTCTCTCCAGAATTTATCTTACATATTTATGTCTCCCATTCGTCCACACTTCGATTATTTCTGCCACATATGGACCGGTGCTCGTGCTATTTTTCTAGAGCTCTTTGATCATATCCAAAGAAAGATAAGCAATATTATTGGACCTAATCTGGCGTCTCGGCTTCAGTGACTTTCCAACCGCCGTAAGGTTGCCACTTTTTGTCTTTTCCATGAATACTTTCATGGTAATAGCTCTTCATTATGGCGCTTAGAGTTTTTTTTTTTAATTTAAGCGCAGTACTAGACTGTCGTCGTGATCTCATCCATTTTACAGTTGAGTTGGCTAGATGTGAGCGTAAGTTCTATGCCAGCAGTTTCTTTTCTAGCACTTCTCGCTTGTGGAACTCCCTTCTGGCTCCATGTTTTCCAGCCAACTTTAATCTTAAAAAAATTCAAATGCAATGTCAAATCGTTATCTAGTGTCCTCCTGATGTACTCTTTTTGTTCATCGTCATTAGTAATGTTTCTGTTTCTAATAAAGGCGACAAAGAAGTTAAAGAAGAAAGAAAGAAAGGAAGAAAGAAAGAAAGAAAGGTGGGTAGGGCTGAAAGAAAGAGAAAGAAAGTGAATAGAGAAAAGAAAGTGAAAACATTAAAAAAAGAAACAAAGAAAAATAATAAAAAAGATGGAAAATAAAACAGAAACTGTTTCTAATTCTTCCACACTCAGAAACCTCTTGTGTCTTAGTGGCTTTACTGCCTTGCATGGGGTGAACACGATTAAAAAAATCCTTGGTTGCCAATCTATTGTTTATTTTCATTACTTTTCCCAATTTTTGCGATGTGGATTTATTATCATTGATATTATTTACACGCTGATTATTGTCTTCATATTTGTTATTATCAGAGCGTCTCAGCCGTTGCGCTCTGCGGCCTTCATCAGGTGCTCATCGATCGTATAATCTATCAGATTAAAACGTTGGTTTGTGGATTCGATGATATAGTAATTGTGATTTCAATCTCTGGCCTGCGCAGTATGTACTTGAGCTCATTGGCGTACACTAAGTAGATATAAGAACGAGATATCCCGGAAGGAGAACGACCTATCACCCGTCACTTGGCACATTAAAGTTTTGGATTTAAGCGTTCATTAAATAAACGGTTCAGTTCGAAATTTACTGTAGGTTACCAGTGTCCACAAGCACCTGATTGAGGCTGAAGAGCACAACGCTTGAAATAGTGTGATAACAACAGCAAAGGTGAGCGCAAGAGTCCGAGTGTAAGTACACCATTGCGCAAAATAATTAAAACAACCGCTTTAGTTTCCTTTCTTTCAACATACGGTCAGATTTAGACACATTGGAATGACAGGGTGTAATCGAGTTCTATTTTTTCTTTAAATTAATTCATTTGCGGTGGTGTGTACTAATATCAATCTATTATCAGGGTTTATGATGAAATTTGTTTGGCCTTGAAAAATATTGCATCGCCTGTGATTGTATCAGATTTTCATCACGCCCAGATACTATTGTCTCGACTGTCGATTAGTTGCCTACGGCCATTCTCAGCAATGGACGTTACTCCAAGAAAGTGTAAGAAAATTGTAATGCTGCACAAACAGACTGGCAAGCCTTGCCAATGAGCAAATCAAAGTACTATAGATACTCGGAAACTCTCTTGATTTAAATCCAATCGAAAATCTGTGGTCAATCTGCAAAGAACGACTTCTAGGAATGGACATAGAAAGTACTAACATGTCCATTGAATCATGTTTCCTTGGAAAAGTACGAAAAAAGTAAATATTAACTGAATTATAAGTTTTTTTCAATTTATTTACACAAGGGTGTCATTTAAATATAGTTTTCATATTTTTCAATTTTTTTTTTCATTCTTAAAACGAAGTATTTTTATTTTTATATTGCTGTTTTCAATTACATTTTTCATTGTCCGATGATTTATTTTCATGATTTTTAAAATTTCCATTATTATGAGGGTCGGTTAAAAGTTCATAGGCTGAACAAGATACTCCCATAGAATGCAACCAAATGAGGTTATTTTTCAACATTATCCCCCTTACGGTTCACACACTTTTTCCGTGGGTGTTGAAACGTTTGAATCCCATTGGCGAAGCTTTCATCCAGTTGGTCAAAAAATGATCGACAGCAGATATGGCGTCATCATCACTACGATACCGGTACTCAGCCAAGTTTTCTTTAATGTTGGTGAACAGATGATAGTCAGATGGGGTCAAATCAGAAGAATAGGGAAGGTGATCAGCCATTTGAAAGCCACAGTGACACACAGCAGCCATTGAAACCAAAGACTTGTATGTTGGAGCACTGTCCTGAAGAAACAAGACCGCTTTCGTCAGTTTTCCTGAGAATTTGGTCTTGGTAGACATTCGTAACTGACTCAGGAATGTTGGCGTAGTACTCTCCATTGATGATGTGGCCCTTTTGAAGACAGCCAATAAACACAATACCTTTTGCATCACAAAACCTGAAACCATCCCCTTCCCTGCAGATTAAAGAACCAGGAGCAGGTAAGGAGGATTGTACGGATTGTGTCTTTGTCTCTGGCTCAAAGTGATGAGTCCAACACTCATTCTGGGTTAGCAAACGTTCAAGGAAACTAGCTGGATCAGCCACAAGCAAGTCAGATTTTGCCGTGATGTCATCAGCTTGGTGCGCCTTTGATCAAATGGAGAAGTCGTGGCACCCAACAAGCAGGATGCTACAGCATGCCATGTTCATTGTGCAGAATATTCTCATTATGAGATAAGATAATAGCATTGGCTATATGACTTATTGTCAATCACCGGTTATTCAACAGCATACGATGAAAACGAAATAGGAATACGCAGTAGGCTACAGGCAATATGCCCCCGCTGGAGGCTTCATGCCGCAAACGTGCAGTCACGCCATCGCTGTGCTTTACGTGCATCGCAAAAATTACAAGACGTCGTCTCATCTCATGCATGAGACGATAGTTCGCCTTTGCTGCCCTGAAAAGATAAAAGTAGATTAACTGATTATCACATAACTGCAGGTGCCCACTCACATGTTCTCAAATACCTTACACACCTTCTATTATGTATTACTTTTGCGCCATGCATGTTTTCCTCTGATGTTCTGTGTAGTGAATGTAGGAAAGTTTCATCGCAGGGGAAAAAGAGATTTGAGGCAACAGAAATGTGGTTTTACAGAAAGACGAGGAAGCATGTGAACAACGAGGAAACTTTAAGAATAAATGGAAAGTGAATGAACGCTTTATGCTTACGATTAGAAAGAGACAGTTGATATTTCAAGGACACATAATGAGGAAAGAAGTATCAGAGAATTTGACACTCACAGGACAAAGGAAAGCCACATTTAACCTACATATCGAACTTGTGTAAATAGATGGCAGAGCAGGGATAGTGAAAATACAAATTTTACAAAGATCTACAAAGGCTAGGAAGCTATGGGGAGCCATAGTTATCCCAATTATGAAGAAAGAAGGTTATATTTATTTAGAACTAGCAGCTGTACACAGCTGGTCGATCAGAAAAAGCGTTCAATTAGAATAGAGCAAAAACGGCACCATGTTTACATGTAACAAAATCTATCTTCTTCAATTACTTCAAGTCCTTTCATTAAAAAAAACATTTTGAATTAATGAAGTTCCTGATATAACAGAAGTAGTCTGTATTTATTCAATCGAAATTAGACGAGGACATGAAGGGGTAAAACAAGCAACATGAAGACCCACTTCAGACCAGAATTATTTTGGAGTTTTTGAAATTCAATTTTTAAGAGGATACATTTATAAAGCAATTGTTAAGTTGGATGAAAATTGGTTGAAAGATCAAGGAAATATAAGAAAGAAACCAGTGAAAATCGCTATTTTTCACTATTTGCGCGGGTTTTCACTATATGGGTGGACTCAATTATCAATTTAACTGACTGTTCAACAATCAACTTATTGTTGGCTACAATTGAGTGAAGTCTGCCTTAGATTACTTGAAAATTGAGGGAGTTTTTAGTTTAAAATTTGTGTTGAAATCGATTTGTATTGAAATCGATTTTTCATTTTTCGCAGTTTTTCGCTAAACGCAGTGGCATAGAAATAAAAATGAGGTATCGTTGAGCTCGTCATGATGTAAGTAACCTACATAATGAGTTTGAACGAAATTGAAAGAAAAAAAGTTGAATTAATCGATTATTGATTTTCTAAAAATTATCAATTTTTTTTTTACGCTAAGAACCTATTGTACAATGTATGTGCCAAGTTAGGTCAAAATCGGTTGGATGGATCCCGAGTGAAAACGTATCACATACACAGACACACAGACATCCTCTGTTTTATATATATAGATATGATGAACAACATTCGAGTTCCATAAAAATCTTAGACCATTAAATATCTTTTTGTAAATAATTTTGTTATAAAAGATATTATAAATTGAAATTCCCATGGTATCATATAAATGCCAGGCCTCAAGCAATTCTGAAGTTAGCTTGGAGTTAGAGAGATTTAGGCGAAATAAACAACCCTTCCCCACCAACGTTTAAACATATAACCCTAAAGCAGATATTCCCCTGCGGTCATCAGAGAAGATCCTGCCGGTTTGGTATCGACCACACAAGCGACCAACACTAAGTAATGACAGAACTAACCTGACCATAAACCTACTTTCGATACCAATGTGAGCTTCTTTTTTAAAAAAATACAAGCCTCGAGAGGCACTCAAAGTAGTGGGTTATATTAAAAATGATAATGATGAATGAAGTGCGTGATATGAATGTAAGAAGATGTGGTAGGAAGTTAAGATTATGAGGATAGGGAGGAAAGAAGTATATATTGAAAGTTTTACTATTATTGTTTGCATCATATAATTCGATAAATTGTAAGCTAGTATGCCCTACCAAGGGTAGAGAACCTAGTTCGCTTTACTATTTAACTCATTCCAGCCTTTGCCCAAAAGGGCATTAATAAAAAACGAACATAAACAAAGCAGGTAGAAATTGAACACAGGTTGCCGATTCCATTTTCGGCGCTGATATCGCACGTCCATTGTAAGGCACAGGGTGTTTCTCTGAGGCAAATTCGTTGCGAAAAAAAGGTCTAAATATTGGTTAGCAAATATGAAAAACGTCGCTTAAAACATACTGATAAAACACGCAGCCACATATACATATGTATACCAGACACACAGAAAATATATGCACAGCACTTTATTTATATATGTGTGTGTGTTTATGCGTTCTTTTTATAGATACAAGTGATTAGGTGCTCTGTTTATAATAAAAAAAAAAGTATTAATAACATTTACTGGCCTGAATGTCCGAAAAATTTTCATAGAAAATATGCGTCCTCCCGCATGAATCGAACCTGTATCATATACGGAACTGTTATATAGCCGGACGTGCTTTTACCGATTGAGCCATAGAGGAGCGTTTCTCTTAACAACGTCGATTTTACTGTTTTTAAACTACACAAAGCACGTCAGGCTATATGACGGTAACGTATAGGATACAGGTTCGATTCCTGACGAAGGACGCATACATTCTATGAAAATTTCTCGCACATTCAGGCCGGTAAATGTTGTTAATACTGTTTATTATAAACAGAGCATTTAGTTAAAATATATATATATATATATATATATATATATATATATATATATGTGTGTGTGTGTGTGTGTGTGTGTGTGTGTGTATGTGTGTGTGTTTGTGAGTGTTCTGTGTGTGTGTGTATACCTGCCTGAAGATACCTAACTGTAGAAACCTGGGTAGCTTGAATTTTGGTGTATCCAAATGTATCTATAAAAAGAAGGTATAAACATAAAAATATCTTAAAATAATTGAGAGACTTTTTCCATTTCATAAAGTGTGACGTCATTTGTTTACATTTAGATACGCATCGAGTAGATATGAATGTACGTGAGAAAATCATGGACAATTGTAAAATCGACCTTGCTAACCGAAACGATCCTCTGTGGCTCAATCGGTAAAAGCACGTCAGGCTATATGACGGTTCTATATAGGATACAGGTTCGCATTCCTGTCGGAGGACGTATATTTTCTATGAAAATTTCTCGGACATTCAGGTCGGTAAATGTGATTAATATTTTTTTTTATTATAAACAGAGCACTAACTTAAACACTTGTATCTATAAAAAGAACGCATAAACATAAAAATGTCTTAATATATATATATATATATATATATATATATATATATATATATGTAAGCGAGTTGGCGATATGTGGCGGAGTGAAAAAAGTTAAAATGATAGGCAAAAATGCACATAGATAGAATAGTATAGAATAGACCCATTTTAAAATTACAGACAGCGTCTCAAAAAGAATCAGATCAATAACACTTGGTATGTGAATGGCTCTTCTTGAAATTGCAGATGGCGTCTGTAACAAAAGAAATACTGATGTCTGTGACGTCTCGTCGAACAACTGGATGGTAAATGTTTAAGGAAGAGAAAGAGTTAAAATTAAGCAAATCTGAAAGTATCCCGTATAGAAAAAAAAACAAAAAAAGAAACAAACAAAACAAAAAAAAACCAAAAAAAACCCCCCAAAAACCGAAGAGGAGCGTTTTACATGTCTGGAATCTGTAACCAGATTGTTTAGGGCTTTGTGACAATGGCGAGGCATGTGCTCTCTGATTGGTTTTTACTTCTATATTGTCATGGGAGATACGTAGATGGGAACACATGGAGCGATGTGAACAGAATAAATAAAGAGTGAGGGAGACAAACAGAGGACGAAGGAGAGGGAGAGAGAGGGAGAGAGAGGGAGAGAGAGATACAATGAGAACATGGGATACACAAGAACAATATGAGATAGACAGACAGATATATATATATATATATATATAGAGAGAGAGAGAGAGAGAGAAAGACAGGCATACAGACAGAGAGATAGATATGAATAGATTGAGATAGCTAGATAAATCTGAAGAGATAGCCTGATATCGATATACAGATATGTACTGGATAAGATGGAAAGCGAGAGAGAGAGAGAGAGAGAGAGAGAGAGAGATGAAGAGTTTGAGATCTCTGTTCATATCTATCTATCTATCTATCTATCTATCTATCTATCTATCTATCTATCTCCTGAGATAGATAGATAGATAGATATGAACAGAGATCTCAAACTCTTCATCTCTCTCTCTCTCTCTCTCTCTCTTTCCATCTATCTCTTTCTGTTGATATCTATCTATCTTATCCTGTCCATATCTATCTATCTATCTATCTAGTCACGATCACTAGCCCCGTTACTCATCAGAGTCGTAGGGGTATCGTATGTATTGCAGAAGTGGTGTGTCTTGGACAAGATAACCTGACGAAGCCGAACCTTTTCCAGGCTAGTTTAAATTTGAAGTTTTCCTCATCCTATTTTCTTACTACGTAAGTGAATGTGATGAACTCGGCAGCAACTCGAACTCGGATCTCCGATTCCTCAATTCATTACTCCACTGAACATCCACCATCTATTATTATTACGCTTAAATTCATACAGTGCCAATGAGGAAAATTCATTAAAACAATTGCTATGAAAATAAGCCACTTCTCGCAGTTTGAAAGTGATCGAAACCCGAGATTACAGGAATTGTCAATCATTTTGTGCGTACCTATACCTAAGTTGTGTTTAGATTCTGTTGCATCGTTCACTTAATTCCATGAGCAATTCTGCTAATTTCTTAGGAAAGATTCGTCGGTAAAAAGCAAAAAAAAAAAAAAAAAACAACCGCCCCCCCAAAAAAAAACCCCCCAAAAAACCCCCAAAAAACAAAGCAAAAATACAATCCAGTTGAAAGAAGTTCTTTCGGAGGGATGAAGACTATATTTTGCGTTGGCGACAGTAGATTGGAAACGACATCATTAAAACATGGAATTGTTTGATTTGGACGAGTTGCCTATCACATGTGTCCAATCTGGTTAAGATTGGTTGATGCGAAGAAAACATGCAACAGCGATCAGTAGAAGAATGAAAGAAAGGAGACAGGAAGGGTCAATTGAAGATCGAAGACTGTGAAATAATATATCAAAATTGACGCGATGGATAAAAATGAACAAATTGAGGCAGACAGACAGATAGATAGAACGGATATATATATATATATATAAACAGACCGAGATAGATAGATAGATAGATAGATAGATAGATAGATAGATAGATAGAGTGATGAGAATAGATGAAGTGACTGATATATATATATATATATATATATATATATATATATATATATATATATATATATATATGTATGTATGTATAAATAGACCGAGATAGATAATAGATAGATATGAACGGATACATATATATATATATATATATATATATATATATATATATATATATATATATATATATATGTGAAAAGTGAATATAAATATAAATAAAATATATATATGTATAATTATTTATATATTATATGCAAGGATTTTTATTAGAAAGCGCTCAATATCAGAGATAGAGCTAACATATTTGGTTGGATAGATGTGAGTTTGTGACCCTGGGTTTCACGCTTTAGCGATCGTCAGACAAACTGATTAATGTTTTTTAAAAATTTGGGTTTATGTAGATTGCGTGTATTGGTGTTATTGTGGAAGTGGTGGGGAAATTTCGTCGTTTTGTCATTCATCGTACTAACGCAAACATCGATGTATGCAGACACATATACATATACATACTTGGTCGTCCGTCGGGACTCATACATATATATAAACATATGTAGACAGTTTCTGGCTATGACACATGTATGTATACGGGTGGTGTTATGTCTATACATACGCATTTGTATGTTGAAATGTTGAAATTTAAACATTGGAAGTGTGGCGGAAATGTCTCGTTATTGTCTCGTGAATGTATCCATGTCATATTATGAAATTTTTTTTTTTTTTTTTCCGTTGAAAATATTTTCTCGCATGTGTGTATATATGTGTGGTGGGGTTTTGTAAAATTATGATAGGTAAAAATTATTATTATAATTATTTATATTTATTTTAAATTTTTGAAAAAAAATGGGGGTTTATTTGTTATATTTAAAGCTGGTTATTTGTTTGTTTTTGGTGACTGTATATATGTAACAGGTAAAAAATTGTAATCCTTATTGTTTAATTTATATGGTGATGTTTAATTTAATATGATATATAAACAGACCGAGATAGATAGATAGATAGATAGATAGATAGAGTGACTGAGAATATATGAACATACCATTATATATATATATATATATATATATATATATATATATATATATATATATATATGTATGTATAAATAGACCGAGATAGATAGATAGATAGATATGAACGGATATATATATATATATATATATATATATATATATATATATATATAAACAGACCGAGATAGATAGATAGATAGATAGATAGATAGATAGATAGATAGATAGAGTGAGAATATATGGATATAAATGGAGATGTATATAAATAGATACATATGAACAGTCTACGATAGATTTATTGAGGATGGGAAGATTGGATAAAAGCGAGACTGATAGAGAGAATTAAGGAAGGAGAAAAGGAGAAAGTGAAGAAAGAAACAGAAGAGAGAGAAAACAATGTCAGACTTGATAGATGAATATGAACAGACTGAGATAGACTGAGATAGATAGATAGATAGATAGATAGATATGAACAGAAATATATATGAACAGACCGAGATAGATAGATAGATAGATAGATAGACAGATAGATAGATAGATACATTAACAGGCCGAGATAGCTAGCTAGCTAGCTAGAGAGATAGATACATTAACAGGCCGAGATAGATAGATAGATAGATAGATAGATAGATAAGAACGGACATACACATATATAAATAGAGTATGCGGCAGAAATACCTCCTATATAATGGTAAATTATTAGAGGCAATTGTGTCTTAATCCCGATAATCTTTTACCATTATGTGGAAGGGATTTTTTACTGCTTCCCTGTATATGAAAATTGTGTATCTAGACTTGAAAATTATATCTAAAAAAGGTTCAGACTCTTTTAAAGATTGCAAAATACATGGTTTGACATTGTCAAGAGGCAATTTGACTTTCGTTATTCCGTAATATTTTTCACGAACTCGTTTAAAGTCAATTCATTCTGTAAGCAAGCAAAGAACTGTACCAAATAAAAGAATGCACATCACCTGAACTCTACTAACAGCAGCAACAACTAAAATGGATACCACATGTAACTCAAAGAAAAAACAATGACATGACAAAGATGTTAGCCTTCCCCACCATTTCAAACATAAGGTTAGGAAGAAAGCCTACATCAATACTGGAAAGAGCGATAAAAGCTACTGGACTTAGAGACCTGTTTTCCTAAAAAAGCGTTTTAAGAAAAAAGATTTTATAAATCTCAATTGAAAACAGTACCGGCTGCTTGCTCAATGCATATCAAATGTTTCCTTATCGGAAGACGGCTAATACAGTCCAAATCACCATGACGAAATCTGTCAAAACAATCCTTGATCTCTCGAAAAGCTGGATCATGATCCACATGAACCTTCTGAATGTGTTTTTTTTGTCACAGTTCCAAAACTTACTCCTTTCCGAAATTCATAGAACATAATATCGTAAAAGAGAAACTTTTCATTCTCCATCTTCAAGGAATTATTTGTGAATAAATCGTCAACATTCCACAAAATCTGACACGCAATTGAAGGCTGCAAGGTTTCAATCTAGAACACACCAGAAATCGGTTCAAAAACAAACGTCAGTGTCAAATTGCGGTCATTGTATATTGACAATCACAATCTGATATTTTTACTGAAGAAGAACTGTGTGGATTTCTTTTTGAAACATCGCTGTGTACTAATATTTCAAGCGTGAACACAACCGTTTCTGGATTTACGTTTCAGAGAAAGTACAACAATATCACTAAAAGTATTTGTCGATCTGATTCTAAACTTTTCTATGACAAACTCCTGTGAAGCTGGACGTTATAGAACCGTGAAGCTTTAAAATATTAGACAACGAAATGCAGATGTTTCTTTTTAACATTCCAACAAATATTCAACAATTTTGTTCTTAAAATTAACCGCATGCAGCCCATCAAAAGGTTATTTTATTATTTCAATAAAATGCAAACCAATGCAACAATGATGTATTGTTAATAACACAGACCTTATTAATATATATTTTTAGTAGTAATAATATATAGTAGTAATAATATTTCAAGAGTGAATTCAAGGATTTCTGGATATATCTTCAGCAGACGTACCACAATAATGCTAAATATATTCCTTAATATGCTTCTGAAGAGTTTTACGTCAAGTGTAATCCACACCTTTACGCACACTTCTGTCTCATCTTCCGCAGTCGCTAGTTTCGCTACTTTTTCTTATTTATCCTCGGTTGGCGCTGATGTGTCGTCCCGACAGGATTGACTAGAGTTTCCCAGAATTTTACGTTATTGCGATATCCAATGTGGACCCCTGTATGTATGTTGTGTACCGTAGTTAAGAAGGAATAATTCTCAAGTTATGGCCGTAGAAATAGCTTCTACATTTTACAGGTTAAAAAGAAGACCAAGGCAACTGCCGTTATAAAAACTATTTCACTGTCATTTAACCAAAGGCCTAACGTTTTTATTCGTTTGGTTTGAAAAATGACATCCTCCAAATGGTGGCCCCATCATCATCATCATCATCATCCTTCGACCTTTCTATGGTTGGTCCGAACAGTTCTTTGGGTATCTGATACAGAAAGATATCTGTGCGATGCTAAATCTACATTAAAACAAAGCAAACCCACACTCAACAAAATTACATTTCAAACTAGTCGCAACACATTACAATGCATCTTGATCTATGGTTGTTAATATTTTGTTGCCTCGCGTTGTATGACGTCATGTAACCGCTTCACGATTTTAGGACCTGCGACCGTTATGGTCGCATAGCAAACTTCAAGGAAAACATAGGAGGTTGTCATCTTTGATGGTGAATATCTTTGTGGAAATATCTATATAATCACACTGAAGATGGCTCATGTGAGCCGAAAGCTTAGATCAAGGAACGGCTTAATAAAAATATCAAAATTTTGGACAAAAAAAAAATAGTGGTTCCTCGGATTTGAGTAGAGGTTCCGTTTAATTATTAAACAGTATATTTATTTATTTTCATCTGCATCCCAGTATATTCGAGAGATTTCATTAAAGAAAAATGTACGCTCTCCTTAAGATTTCTCGAATATTCAGGCCGGTAGACGAAAATATACTGTTTAATAAATAAATATGTCTACTCAAATACTCATATATATATATATATATATATATATATATATATATATATATATATATATATATATATGCATGCAGGTTTGGTTTTGAAATTTTCTTTGTGGTCTTTTCGTGTTGTAAAGGCTTGCACTTTACTGATGCAACTTATTCGGTCGTCGAGGTCTAGTTTTTGGGCGATTGCTTTAGCTTCCTTATTGATACCGTATTCTATTCTATTTTGGTGCTTTTTGTATGTTTTCGTTATGTTACCCTTAAGTAATTTGTTGTGTACCGGGTGGGATGCTGAGTTCATATAAATTTCTTGTGTTGTCCGCTGCGATAAATACATTTGTTGAATTGCTTATTTCAGTTATACCTTCTTTTAGTTTCTTTTTTTTGGAAATGCATCTTTTTTTTTTATGGAATTTTTTGTTTCTAACTAGGTCAGTTAAATCTTTCTCGAAGTCGTCCAATTCTTTTTGTTGCAGGGGGCATATTTTGGTTCTAAAGCCGTATTTTTCCTTAAGTGCAGTGTTATTGTGAATGTCCTGGTTTAAAAAGAAATGGGTTTTCTTATCTTATTCTTTTTATAAAGCTTTTTGTTTTTTTCAATTAATTTTAGCTTATATGTGGATGGAGATGGGATGGGTATGTTTTTTACGGTGTAGTCGAGGCTAAATGTTTCAATGTCCATAATGTGTTATAAATGTAGCGAACGTGCTCTACTGTTTAACGATAAAAAATTACTACGTTACTCAAAAAACGAAAACCGAAAAGAGTAAATAAAAATATGCAAAATAAAAATAAGTAAATAAATAAGAAAAAACAAATAAAAATTAATCCAAATAAATAAATAAATGAACAAATTAACAAATCGCTCCCGCTAAAATAACCGTTAGAACTAATAATAATAAACATAATAAGCAGAAACAAGTAAAAATAGTCAATCAAAATAAATAAATAAATAATAAACAAATTAAAAACTGACTCCGCCAAAATAAAAGAATAGACAACGGCAAGCAATCTAAACATTGGACGAACAAAAAGCTTTAATTATCTACCCAGACCAAAACAAATTATAAAATAAGCGACCTAAGCAAATCCCCACACATTTTTTACTACGTTAATAAAACACCAATAACCGAAAGGAATAAATAAATATATAAAATAAAAAAATGAAAATGAAAAACAAGAAAAATAAATTAAATAAGTAAAACAAATAAACAAATAAATAAATAAATGAATAAACAAGCCACTCCCGCCAAAATAACCGCCAGAATAGATTACCCACAATGCACCACTGACCCATAAATATAAATAGTCGAGGAAAAATCCAACACTCGCGTCTAGCATGAAACAGCCTGTCGCCTCTGAGTGTTGACTTCAATGTTCACTTTTACACACACACACACACACACACACACACACACACACACACACACATATATATATATATATAAATATATACTATATTTAAACATGAAAACAATAAACTAAACATTCTTGAAGCTATATACATAAATCCTTTGAAACCTAACCTGAACAAAATAAACTATGAAATCTCCACAAATATTCATAAATGCCTATAATTGGTAACAGAAGCCATTGCTTCTCGCTTTTACTCTCGCGTGGTCATGTGTGATGTCATGAGCTGCGGTGCGATTTTTGCTTCCAGCGTCTTATATGCACTAGTTTGTCGTTGCTTGGAAATCTTCCATGTCAACAGAAACAGACTGTTTTGTCCGTGTATTGCTGAATATATTGTAATGTAATTGTCATTTTTAGCTTAGATAGGATTAAAAATATGTATCAATATTGTGATTTTCTTTTTTCGTTTAATGATAATATTATTAAACTTAGATGATATGAAAAGAATTTACATAAAATAAATAGACAACACTTGTCTTTATTATTTAATGAAACATGTATCAATATATATATATATATATATATATATATATATATATATATATGCGATAACGATAATTCGGCCTTGGGTAAGTACTAGGACAGACTGGGTTGTTGGTAGCCACTCTAGAAGAAAAACTAAAAATTCAAACCAGCCTGGAGAGGTGTAGCCTTCGTCAGGCTAACTTGCTTATGGCCCGCCTCTTCTTCTTCGGCTGTGGTTCATGTAGTGACTTTTCGAGCCTGGGGAGTTCTCGTGAACGTGAGTAATAATAAATAAATGAATAAAACTCAAATACTAATTTTTATATTATTTGGAAAATGTAATTAATGGAAATGTATTTTATTCTGAAGATAAAGTTATGAGTACCAACCCAAATATATTGCTATTTAAAACGCTTTAAATTAGATTCAAAACACCGTTAGAAATGGGTTTTGCATAACTTGTCTTATTTAAATATCAGCTATTTCTTGGTTTCCTCTTGATTGTTGATGTGATTGGCATGATCCAAAGAGTTCTCTGATGCTTTCTTCCTGAACGCAGTATATACATATGCGTCCCTTTAGGGATTTTAAAAATATCTTCGAGCAGTTACAAGTTCATCCATTCCACTAAATGGAAAATAACTGACAAGTAGTAGATATTTAAAACAACTGACAACTTACCCAAATCAGAGCGCCCCAGTA